GCTTGATACCCTAATATGATTGTTGAGTGGAGATAAGAAAGAAGAAGAGACTCATCCCCAGCAGACACCATCAACAAGCTCTACAAGCTTGATACTATAATATGATTGTTGAGTGGAGATAAGAAAGAAGAAGAGACACATCCCCAGCAGACACCATCAACAAGCTCTACAAGCTTGATACCCCAATATGATTGAGTGGAGATAAGAAAGAAGAAGAGACACATCCCCAGCAGACACCATCAACAAGCTCTACAAGCTTGATACCCCAATATGATTGAGTGGAGATAAGAAAGAAGAAGAGACACATCCCCAGCAGACACCATCAACAAGCTCTACAAGCTTGATACCCTAATATGATTGTTGAGTGGAGATAAGAAAGAAGAAGAGACTCATCCCCAGCAGACACCATCAACAAGCTCTACAAGCTTGATACTATAATATGATTGTTGAGTGGAGATAAGAAAGAAGAAGAGACACATCCCCAGCAGACACCATCAACAAGCTCTACAAGCTTGATACCCTAATATGATTGTTGAGTGGGGATAAGAAAGAAGAAGAGACTCATCCCCAGCAGACACCATCAACAAGCTCTACAAGCTTGATACTATAATATGATTGTTGAGTGGGGATAAGAAAGAAGAAGAGACACATCCCCAGCAGACACCATCAACAAGCTCTACAAGCTTGATACTATAATATGATTGAGTGGAGATAAGAAAGAAGAAGAGACACATCCTCAGCAGACACCATCAACAAGCTCTACAAGCTTGATACTATAATATGATTGTTGAGTGGGGATAAGAAAGAAGAAGAGACTCATCCCCAGCAGACACCATCAACAAGCTCTATAAGCTTGATACCCCAATATGATTGAGTGGAGATAAGAAAGAAGAAGAGACTCATCCTCAGCAGACACCATCAACAAGCTCTACAGGCTTGATACTATAATATGATTGTTGAGTGGGGATAAGAAAGAAGAAGAGACACATCCCCAGCAGACACCATCAACAAGCTCTACAAGCTTGATATCTTGCCATCGCCAACAAAGACCTGGTGGAGGACCCTAACACCAAACCTCCCGGCTACAACCTACCTAGGAGGACCTGGTCAACCCTCAATAGAATCAGGACCTCTACTGGTAGATGCAACTACCTACTAAATAAGTGGAACATGAGTCCAGACCAGAACTGCGACTGTGGACAAATACAAACAATGCACCATATCCTAAGGGACTGTCCTCGAAGATTCTTCCAGGGAACACTTGGGGATATCCACCGGTGCACAGAGGAGGCCCTGGAGTGGATTCGTCACCTCGACATTCCACTCTAGAGAAACTTGCCAACATTGTTGTATTGTGCTGTAAAAAACAATATCATAAGCAATAATAATAACAAGCTTGATACTATAATATGATTGAGTGGAGATAAGAAAGAAGAAGAGACACATCCTCAGCAGACACCATCAACAAGCTCTACAAGCTTGATACTATAATATGATTGAGTGGAGATAAGAAAGAAGAAGAGACTCATCCCCAGCAGACACCATCAACAAGCTCTACAAGCTTGATACTATAATATGATTGTTGAGTGGGGATAAGAAAGAAGAAGAGACTCATCCCCAGCAGACACCATCAACAAGCTCTACAAGCTTGATACTATAATATGATTGTTGAGTGGAGATAAGAAAGAAGAAGTGACTCATCCCCAGCAGACACCATCAACAAGTTCTACAAGCTTGATACCCTAATATGATTGTTGAGTGGAGATAAGAAAGAAGAAGAGACTCATCCCCAGCAGACACCATCAACAAGCTCTACAGGCTTGATACTCTAATATGATTGTTGAGTGGAGATAAGAAAGAAGAAGAGACTCATCCCCAGCAGACACCATCAACAATCTCTACAGGCTTGATACTCTAATATGATTGTTGAGTGGAGATAAGAAAGAAGAAGAGACTCATCTTCCGCAGACACCATCAACAAGCTCTACAGGCTTGATACTCTAATATGATTGAATAGAAATAAGAAATAAGAATAAAATATATAATTGAGTGGCGATAAAAAAAGAAAAAAATATATGATTGAAAAAACGAAGATATAAGAAAGAAGAAGAGTAAAAAATATATGATTAAACGAAGATAAGAAAGAAAAATAAGACGAAAATCTAGAAAATAAAGAATAAAATACATATGAACTTGAACACCATTCATATAACACAAGAAATCCATCAAAATGAACAAGAGAAAAGGATTATAAATTTATAAATCAAACGGAAAAAAGTCACTTCAATATAAAAGATAAAAACCCATCATAGATAAAATGACTAAGACATCATCGATTTAAAAAAAAAAAAGTTGACAACCCTGAATTACAGTCGGCATAAGATAAAAGGAAAGATGACACAACCAACAGAGTATTACGTTAAAAAAAAGCTTAACTTATTAATGGCCATAAGTGCTTCAGTACCATTTTTTTTTATCGAAACTACTCAAGAAACATCAAGAAGAGAAAGTATTTAAAAAAAGATGTCAAAGAAGCAAGGGGAGTTGGAAAATTTTTTTTTTTTTGTTCACATCACCTCTTTCCTTATGATGCCATCGTGTTTTTTTCTGCCAATTTTTAGATAAAAGGAACAACTGAATATATACATTCGATCATCATTAGTTGTTCCAATTTACAGAAATTCAATCGGAAATGACAACTTTTTATTAAGTTTTCTTGGAAAATTGGAATTTGTAGAGAAGGAATTGTTCTGGGTTATTTCGTTGGTTGTTTTGAAAGAAAGAAATTTTAATGCATTAGGTTCAATTGTTTGGATTTTCTAGAAATGTTTTGGGTTATTCGTTTGTTTTCTATAGAGAGACACTTTATGAAGTTAAACGCTTTTACTTTCATAGTATTTTCTTGAATTATATGTCAGCCTTTACGAATTTTGTTATATAGCTATAGCCTTAATAATATTTAGTATATGTATATAGGATATGTAAATAGGATATGTATATAGGATAGGATGTAAATAAAGCAAATTACTTTATAAAATTAAATATTGTAACATAGTATTTATTAATTTTATTTATGTAACATAGTATTTATTAATTTTATTATTTTTTATTAACAGAGTGGTCATTTTTATGTTTATATCTTGCGACTCTGTAAATTTCCCTCGTGGCTTATCTTTTGTTTTACAATTCATAGTTTGTCCTTCCCTGAAATAAATTGTTGTCTCCTTCTGAAGTTTTTGTCTTCCCTAATTTTCCACGTCGCAATATGCAAAAAAAAAAAAATATTTTATATAAAAATAGTACATATATCATCAATTTGTTATCGTGATACTCCTGTGGAAGGACTGACAGGTCCGAAAGCTAGAGAATGAAAAATTTGAGCAAGAAACTTAGCCCTGGAGACTTTATTTTCTTTATAACAAATTACATATTGTTGTTTTATACAAAAGAATATTGATAATGTAGTTATTAGTCTAAATAAAAGCATTCCAATGGAATTTAGTAGTTTTTATATAAATTAAAGATAAATCTTCTATCGAAACAATGATAAACCCAAATTCTACCATAGTTTCTGACAGTATGTAAAGATGGATCCGTCACCACAGACACGTGCTGTTGCGACAGATATTGGCCAATGTGATATCACGTGACCCCAATGAGGATCACACACACGTCTGGCGTAGAGAAGCTGTTAGTATTCTAGTAGAATCTGGCTTAATACAATACCTGTGTATGTCATCAGCTCGCTTATCTCTGTGTGCTCGAGTGGTGGTTTGTCTTATATAACTATGGAAAACTATACTTATTTACTATAACAATTACAAACTTTACCCCTGTTTAATATACAGTTAAACCTGTTTATAGCGCCCCCTCTAAATAGCGCCTTCCTCTCTATAGCGCCCGATTTTAAACATTAAAATGTAAACATTTTACATTAAAAGTGACCTGTCTATAGCACCCCCTCTCTATAGCACCCTTTGGTGAGTCCCAAGAAGGGGCGCTATAGTGTGCGCTTTTCACAGAAAAAAAAAACATATTTGATAGTTACCGAATATTATATTGGTACTGGGTCCCTGAAGTTTCGATGTTAAATACCATTCACTATAATGATAATAATAGTAATAATAGTAATAAAATAGTAAAGCTTTATCATTATAATTGATCTAGCAGAGATATAATATTCCTGTCATTTTACACACAGCTCTTAATTTATAATTTTAAAAATTCTATGTTGAGAAGGCAAAGGTGCCAGATTGTTTAATGAGCTGGCGAATGTGACTTGGCAACACTGCTTCACAGAGTAAAAAAAAAAAACAAATATTTTTCTGCCTGCCAAGTTTAATCTAGACGTCGTTTGATTCAGAATTTCTGATGTTGCTAACATGGCTCAATTTGGACATCTTTTATCAAAAAATTTTGTTCATGTAATTGATCAGGATATGTCTATTTTATTTTTAATATAAACATCTGACACTTTTTTCTATCTTTTTTATTTCACATTTTTTTTTCACATAGATGAAAGTTTAGGTAATAAAAAGGAATATAGTCTATTGGGTTGGCCAAATATCACGGAGCAAGCTAAATAAACGTTTAGTTTATTTTTGCTCCACTAGATGACGCTCTGCCATATAAAAAGCACATGTGCTCGTGGTCAGGAGATGCCTTCTTCATTTTTAATAGTCTATTGAATAAAAAGAGATTTATTTGCCAATATTTCGGTTGACTTGAACGCCAACTTTTGTCAATAGATAAAAGAGTAAATTTGTCTAACGATAACAACAATTACAAATATATAAATAATGAGAGATTTTTTGGGTACAGTATTGTTTATAATACAATATAATGCGGCTTATGATTGTAAAACGACATTTGAAATTTATCCCGCATGTGTTTCTTTTGAACGAAAAATCGAAATTTATTTCAAGGAGAAATAACGATTATTTCTAACCTTAGGGATGAGGTATGAAAGGATGAATTGTGAAGAGTAATGATAAACGGAAAAATAAAAGTGTCCAGGGATGGGAATCGAACCCACAGTGTTCCGCTTACCGGGCAGATGCCATGTCCACTAGGCTACAGTATTCCATTATCATGTCAAACTGATATTATTAGATTTTAGACACATATAGACATTATGTAATAATACATTAGCGCGCCATCTGTTATCAAAATTCGAAACTATTATAGACGCGTATGATTCTTTTAAAAAATAAACAATTTCTACTGCCCTTACTGCAATGTAAAAATTAATATTTGCAGTAAAGGACAGTAGAAATTGTTTATTTTTAAAAGAATCATACACGTCTATAAGAGTTTGCGTATTTACATATAGAAATCAGCTTTATCTAAACTTAAATGGATCGCCTTTTGACTCAAAAAGACAGTAAACCTTTATAAATATGAAAAATGCATCTCCTTATCGTGCAACTGAAAGTTCCTGATGGCTTGCGCCATCTATCGGAATAAATATCAACTATTCTCGTTGATTTTTAATTATTCCAGAATTGGCCAAATACCCATTCTTGATTAATCACGAGAATAGTTGAAATTTATTCCGATAGATGGCGCAAGCCATCAGCAACTTTCAGTTGCATGATAAGGAGATGCCTTTTTCATAATTTATGCACCTTATCCCAGTACAATATCACATTTGTACTATTTTTTCACTTTATAAATATGTTTGTGAAGTCTTCAACTAGTATTAATATAATATATGCAATTATAGTATATTCCCTATATACATATTGGTTATTTATATATATGTATATTGGACCATTCTGCCTATCTTTTTTTTTCATTGTATGGACAGAATACTCGTTATTATACACACAAAGCTTTATTAAGACCACCGGTCTTATACAGATTCACCACAGGGAGAAATAATAGATGGAGCTCCTATACTCCAGTCAGCACATCACCCAACAACAGTCTCCTAAAACTTTATCTTGACGAAGTGTCTATTATATTGTAGGGTAGAAATCAAGTCTTTGAATATCTTAAGATGTAAATGTATTTATTGATGACGTCATTATGACTGGTTGACAATTGTCAACCAAACTATCTACAGCTAGAGAATATTAAACAAGCAAGCTATGTAACATATATGATAATTTTATAAATACATAGTAATAATTATAAAGGACTGCGGCGAGTGATTATAAACAATACTTAAAGTTACACCGCATAAGTTTCTTTTTTGTGAAAATTCAATATTTATTTCAAAGAGAAATATTTACTATTTCTAACTTTTTTAAATGAAGTATGAGAGGGTGAAAATATGAAGAGTAATCCCGCCCCTGGACACTTTTATTTTTCCTTTCGCCATTACTCTTCATATTTTCACCCTCTCATACTTCATTTAAAAAAGTTAGAAATAGTAAATATTTCTCTTTGAAATAAATATTGAATTTTCACAAAAAAGAAACTTATGCGGTGTAACTTTAAGTATTGTTTACATAGTAATAATCTGTGTAAAATATTTTCATTGAATAATTAAATAATGAATTATTTCTTCTATGAAAAATAGACACTTCGACCAGTTAGAGTTTTTTTTTTATTTTCTCAACATTTCGACAAAAATATTTTGTCTTCGTCAGGAAAAGTAAATAAAAATAAAGCATTTGGCGTTAAAAATTGTTCTGAGGTTGCAAGGGTGTTTTCACGTGATTTTTCGAATTTAGTACATAAATAAAAAACTCTAACTGGCCGAAATATCTATTTTTCATAGAAATATGAATGCTGGCCAGGCTACATCTATCTTTACGATAAATTATTTCTTCGCCAAAATATTTAGAGAAAACGAAACTAATCCCTGGAGAGTAGTCTGAGATTTTCAGCTTAATATTGAAGATGACAAAAGTTACTCCTTTTGCGGGTTAACACACAAAAATGGAATAAGCTAGGACCTAACTTAAATGTACCTTAATACACAGAAAAGCGTACACTCAAGAGTACAACACCAACAACAAAAAAGGAAATAAATAAGAACTAGCTATTTATAAAATTAAAATAAAAAAGTACTTAGCTTTATTGTAGCTTTGATAGGGATCGGACTGGGGTCACAGGGATGCGAAGAGAACAGCCAGACACGGAAAAACCTCGTAGAAAAACACTTTTAGTGTCTCCACACCAATTCTCCACTCTCTGGGCCCCCCTCGCATTCCCTTAGTCCCCTCTTATATACAGACATGGCCACATTCGTCCAATGAGAAGACATGAGAGATTGGTTCACCAACAAACGAAGACAACATTCTTCCCTCTAAAACCTGATCAGAAAAAAAAAACTGAAAATGTTTGTCAATATAATTTGACAAAGAAACTTATTGCACGAAGTATGTTGACAATCAATCGACCATATCTGTCGCAGCTAATGGACATGTTGAGGAATAGGACAGGGTGTCAATAAGACAGATGATATGCAAATTAATCCCCATTGGATATGGGGTGAGAGAGGGGTCAAGTTTGGCCTCAGGGGAACAAGTGAGTGACAGGAGACGGGCGGTAAGTAGTTGGAGGGGTTGTTAATATAATTGTGGTGATAAGTGGGGAGGGGAATTGTCCCCTGGGTGGGGACCTCTACTGTAAGACTAACCTACCATGAATGAATACCTCCAATAAGCGACCGTTTCTATAACCTATCAACTTTTCTACCACGATACTTGTCTATGTGCTGTTTGAGTTTTTCGCATACATTTCGGCAATATTTGATCCAACCTGACGAAATTTGACACCATATAGAATCCGGTCTGGAAAGATATATCTGTTCTTCTTTTAACTCCTGAAAATATGCAAATTAATTCGATAAAGGTCTAATTAGCATATTCCATTTGTTCCGCATACATTTTCTCCAATGTCCTGATGGATTTATGAGAAGATAATAAAGTTCGGTCTGAAAGAAGTCAATAGTTTCAACTGTGGGAATATGCAAATTAGTCCCACACAATAAGGTATAGATCAATATATGAAAATTTAATACACAAGTATATATCAATGGGTTCAAATTTAAGACAAAAGTATAAATCAGTATGAACAACAGGTATAGATCAATGTGTACAAGTTATAAGACCCAAGTATAGATCAGTTTGGGCAAGTTTAGACTAATGTGTACAAGTTAAGACCCAAGTATAGACCAATGTGTGCAAGTTAAGACCCAGGTATAGACCAATGTGTACAAGTTAAGACCCAAGTATAGACCAATGTGTACAAGTTAAGACCCAAGTATAGATCAATGTGTACAAGTTAAGACCCAAGTATAGACCAATGTGTACAAGTTAAGACCCAAGTATAGACCAATGTGTACAAGTTAAGACCCAAGTATAGACCAATGTGTACAAGTTAAGACCCAAGTATAGATCAATGTGTACAAGTTAAGACCCAAGTATAGACCAATGTGTACAAGTTAAGACCCAAGTATAGATCAATGTGTACAAGTTAAGACCCAAGTATAGACCAATGTGTACAAGTTAAGACCCAAGTATAGACCAATGTGTACAAGTTAAGACCCAAGTATAGACCAATGTGTACAAGTTAAGACCCAAGTATAGACCAATGTGTACAAGTTAAGACCCAAGTATAGACCAATGTGTACAAGTTAAGACCCAAGTATAGATCAATGGGTACAAGTTAAGACCCAAGTATAGATCAATGTGTACAAGTTAATACCAAAGTATATATCAGTATTGGAAGGTTATAGATCAATGTGTACAAGTTAAGACCCAAGTATAGATCAGTATGGGTATGTATGGATCAATGTATACAGGTTTAGACACAAGTATAGATGAGTATGATCATGTATATATCAATGTGTACAAGAAACAAGTATAGGCCAATCAATATATGTATAGTAGACACAAGAACATATCAGTATGGACAAGTTTAGCTACAAGTACAGAGAGATGTAGAAGAATGTACAAGACGTCTCTCAACAAGGACACAAGTCCATCCCAATATTTCACTCCACCGCGTCAACTGATGAGGTCGAACAGCCAGTTGACACTCCCTATATATAACTTGTCTTTCCTTAAACTATCGCTTCGAACCCTCTTTCTTTCTTTTTTTTTTTTTAAATCTTCAACTCTTCTTTTGTATGTTCTCTAGTGTTCCGGGGGAAAATAGATTCTGTGAAGACTGATATAACTCCATTATTTTCGTTTATCTGCTAACTCAACTACCCATTAAATATAAAGGAGAATATGGAACATTTATCCAAATTAATAATACATTTGCTATATATGTATGTTGTGAGGATTTTCTTTCATGTTTAAAAACGCTTAAATAAGATTACGAACCGCTGGAGTTTTACCAGGTCTAATAAAAAAAGAGGATACAAAGTTGACTATTTAAAACTAATAGATTGATTTGCATATATGTAACTTTCTAATTAAAATGTATTTACATATTGGCGCTGAAATCTAAAGATGTTGAATGCTTGAAGCAATATACTTGTAGGTCTTTTGTAAAGTATTTAGTTTCATAATATATTCTTAAGATTTCTTATCATTCATATCTTATTTCTGGTGGTATTTAGAAATTTGCATAGCGCTGCACGCATTCAATCTAGATGATTCTGATGTAAGAAGATAACACCAGCCAGAAACATCAACAATAAATCTAATCTGTTTTTGTCTTTCCAGGGATCCATCTGGTGAGAAGCCGAAAGATGGCAAAGATTCAACTTCCTCTACTCCTGACAAGAATCTGATGAGTAGCAAATCTTCTGCAGACCTCCTGGATAGTCCTTTACGAGCTAGCGGCCACATGATGGACTTCCACAATCCTGCAGCTGCTGCGGCTGCTAGAGGACTCTTTAGCGAGATTAAACCTCTAGGAACGCCTCTCCATCCTCAAGTAGCGGCAGCTCTATCAGGGAATTTCCGTATTGGACATGAATCTCTTGTTCCCCCCCCATCTGGGAGACCTCGGCCTCATGCCAACAGACTACCATCACCCCTTATGACAACCAGCTCGCCCAGGGGATGACCCTTGGGCAACGTCAACAACCTCAACCAATCACAGAACAGATTCCTATCCACGTTTCCTCTAGCTTTATCCTGCTCTAGTAGAATAGGGCTTTGGTACCTCTCA